ATGGATATTCTTGGGAGAAAATTCATGTTGGTCACCATTACCTTACAATGGACAACTACCACATGGGCAGGATCGCTCTTGAGCCACGAATCAATAGATTTAATGATACTGCAAGATAGATTAGATCAAATTTTAAAAGTATTTTAACAATGCTCTACCCCGCTAGCAGAGTCGCTTCGATCTTTCCTAGATAAGTCGGGAAAGAGGAAGCGACTCTGCCGACATCTTCAAGTTCCTTTGATCTGCCGATCATCCAGCTTTTTGGATGGGTCAGACAAGTTTTATACTGGATAAACCAGTTTTATCTGTGCACGCACGCATATTCTGGAATTTTACTGACTCTTTCTGCACCCACGCTCCATAGAAAAACAAATAGCTGCTGCTTCAATTTCATGCGGGAATTTTGAGAAAATCATAGATTGAATGTTCACTTTTAGAGGTTCCAAATCCAGAGGAAACACAGCTATGGAAGGGTGAAAACGAACGCTAACATTTACATTCGCTGACACATACAGTGCATGCTACGGTAACAGTTTGATTGACGTCGGAGAAAAATTTGAATTTGGAGCATGCTCAATATGAATTGTCGAGGATGTCGGCAGAGGTTCCTTCCTCTTCCCGACTTATCTAGGAAGATCGAAGGAGACTCTGTTCGCAGGGTAACAATGCTCAAGAAAACAAGAGGGAATTTTTGGTTAAAACTATAATATGATACCAACTTCCTCCAATTTTCATTCAGTACCCTTAACTTGTATGGTTTACCCTATACTCGTAGTTCCAGGAAGCCTATAGTTTATAAGCCCCCGGCTTCTATATAGGCTTCCTTGCCTTTACCACATTTGATCTTCTAAATGATTTAGTTGCAAATATTGTATACTATCTTTAATGTATTTCCGTATGCTGTTGTTGTATTTCTGGTTAATGGCAAAATAAATGAAATGAAATGAAATGAAACTTAGACAATCACATCTGATTACCAACCAAGTACAGGAGCTACCCTCATGATCAACTATTAACTTTCATTGTCACATTTGCTAACGGGCCCAGTTAGGGAAAAATCCCGACAAGTGACAGATGGCACAAAAATGGGTTGAAACCACAACAGCGATGAAGACAAGCAGAAAAAAAGACAGTAAAATGCTGACAGGGACATTGCTTCCTCTTAACTATGTGAAGTGACAGCTGGTTTTGAACATGTATACCCCACTAGGAACTGGGCCTCATTTACATGCAGGACCCAGTTGTTCCAAGGCTGATTAGTGCTTAACCCGGGGTTAAATTTAACCTGGGTTTCCTTTTTGAATGTTCAAAAGCATTTTCTCGGATAATTTTCTCTGTTATTTTTAGAGCTTCCAATCATCAACTTGTAGACAAGAAGAATTAAAACTGAAATGCTTTTTAAGCTTTCAAATCTGAATTCAATTCTCGCACTGACCCTGGGTTATCTAACCCAGCTTTGAACAACTCAGCCCAATCTATTATTCCAAACATTTCCACTGCACTAATAATTATTATTTCTACATCTCAACCAGCTTGCAGGCCTACTGACAGTCTAAATATAGAACAAAACTCCTTCCAACAGATGCAGTTAAGTGCATAGAAAGACTTCCAAGGACTACAGTGATAAAAGCAAAAAAAGGATCTTATCTTACCTGCACAGTCTTTCTAATGGTGGGGCTAAATGATCAGGCCAACCAAAATCTAAGACCTGTACAAAAATTAAAGGCAAAATAATCAGTCTCTATCAGGCGGAAACAGGTAAAATTTACTGCCTAAAGTAACACTTTTTACCGCCTACAATGGCCTAGGTTTGCGAAAATTAAAGAAGCACGTTTGGCTCCTAAATTTCCCATTCAGGGCAGGGTCATGTCCCGCACTCCACTTCCCCCCCTGCCTCCAGAAAAGTGCACCTCTGTGGTGCATATTTTTTGCCTTACCGCCTCTTTATGATCCCCAACCTGCTGAGCTAAAATTTAGGGAGAACACTGCGTGCAAAACTATACCATTTGGTAACATCTTCCAAGTGAAAAAATTATTATTATTATTATTATTATTATTATTATTATTATTACTATTATTATTATTATTACTGACCTGGTGATTAAGTTTTGATATATCATATCTTCTCTCTGATAAATTAAATACCTAAAATGAAACATTGAACTGCATAAGAACATGAACTTAGTAACTAGTAAGGAATATATACATGTCACAAACCAAGTAACTCATGAAAGGATCTCTACGTCATCACCTTGAAGAATATTAACAAACAGTAAATACTCACATAAAGAAAATTAGAAGGATAGTAATATTAGAAGGCATATTGTACCATATATTTGTCCTGGTGATTCTTTTGCAACAATTTTGCCACCTCTCTGAGGTTATTTCGGTAAGTAGTTTCAAGGCCAGATGCAGGGAATGACATTGCTACATAAAATGAGAGATGAAAATATTTTTCTGTTAAGATGCCAAAAAAAACAACAACACAGTATTGTTTCATCATCTTTAACCATATCAATAATTTACTATTGTCAAAATGAAATGTTATTTCTCTGGTGACTTAGACAATGCTGTAAAAAAATAACTATAAAATGTAGATTGTCAAGATTATAACACTATTGTCCCAATTTTTTTTTTCTCTGGTGACTTAGACAATGCTGTAAAAAAAAAAACTATACAATGTAGATTGTCAAGTTGTCCAGGTATTTATACAGCCCGACAACAATCTTACCAATAATCCTGTCAGTAATGTATGTCAAGTCAAGATCAAAATGTTCATCCACATGCCGCACTCTGTTTCTGTAATATGAAAAAACAAAGACCATTATCATTGTTTGTTTAAGCAGAGTTTTGTTAAAACAGGCAACTAATAAGAAAAATGAAAGATTAATAACTCAACATTTTGGGGTCCTCATGACTCCGTCATCAAGTGAGATAGGAATAATAAATTATTACAATCGAGCAAATGCAAGAGACGAGAAAAACTAATTTTCATTAAGTGAACACTTTGGCCCGCAGGGAACTGGATTGCACATTTAGTGAAGGTGTGAAGTTCTTAATTAAAACCATTTGTTTAACAAGGCAATCAAATTCGCTACTGCATTTAGCCAGGACGCTAAACTGCTCAATAAGTCGCTCAGGTATTATACCATTGTGTTCGTGAGTGTAGTGTTTACAAATTGAAGATGTTTTCTTTCTGTGTTCTTCTACACGCTCGTGTAAGTGTCCACAAATAAATGCCGATACCCAGATGACATCAACATTGTGGCTGCACATGACAAATTTGTACCAACCTTGAGACTCTGTGTCGCATGTGATGACAGATGTTCGTGACAAGGTTTTTGGGAGAAGATGGAACTCGCTGAAATATAAACAAAGAGACAGCTACGATGCACCAAAATAATAATTACATTTTAATGTTTAATTTTCACACCATCTGGTGAATTTATGTGTAAGTTCATTTTTATTAATGGTACACATCTAGGTAAAATACTTACAGTTTTTCTACTAATTTCATCATTGGGCAATGTCTGAAAAAGTGAAAGGAACAGGAACAAAAATAAGAATACTCTCAGGTGACAGCAAGCATGACACTGAAATAAACTCAATCAACCTTAAAAAAAAAACAACTAAAAAATTACAGCAAACACAAGAAAACCATTTTTAATCCTTCTGCTATAAACAAAGGTTGCTTCAGAAACACACAAACTAATAAATCAAGCTGCGGTGGAATGCCCAACTGGTTTGCCGAAATAACTGATGCACCGAGTAAAAAGCCCATGCTGGATTGTGCTACCAATAAGCTAAATGGCAAACTAGAAGATAATCAAGCAATGAAAATTAATTTTAGCCTTCCGGTTGCTATTGTGCATGCACAGCACAGCAAAGATATATGTGGCCAGCAATCAGTCCCATATGAAAATCCCAAAGAGACCAGAGTCAGACTTGGTGGACTTGGTTGAAAATAACCTCTAACTGTACAAACAAAAACCATTTGAACAGTAGATAGCCAGGGTGTTTATTAGGCATCAGAGAACGGAGAATTCTCAGTTTACTATGCACATTTCTCCTGCTAACGTTCGGTAGCCTATGACTATTTTTTATTCAGACATGGAGCCTCTTTCAGAGAATTCTTCTGTAATGTCACACCTTTCCCCTGCTACTAGAATTCTTAATGAAAACCCCTGGATATTTGTGACTCTCTGAATTAGCTTCTTATTAATTCAATCACAACTATAAAAACAGAATACCTTCTCCTGTACTTCCGTTGGAAGGGGACATAAAAGAACCTGTGACATTGTTCAAAAAGAGTAGGGGAGGTAAGCCCCGATGTCATGGTCTATCTGAATTGTGCCGTCATTGGTCTGAGTGGGAGAGGTGTGATCAAAACATGGACTGAAGTGGCTGCAAGAGTGCGCCTTTACATGCTGATGTCCGATCTCACCTCTCTGGTTCCTCCGCAATTCAGCCATTGGCTGCAAGTGAGGAAAGCTAGCACCATTTCTTTTATTTTATTTTTTGGGGGAGTCAAATGACTGAAATATTGATGATAATGTTACCTTGGATTTATTCTGCGCTAAGTTCACTGATCCCTGCCTGTTGCACAACCCCTTGACCTTAAAAAACGCAAACAGTAAAATGTTCAATTACAGAGAAATTGCCAGTTAACTTTGATAGGACCTGAAGGGTTATAGCAGAGCTCTCGGGGACGCACAGTGGAGCACCATGGGTAGGAAAATATGGTAATTTATGCTTCCAAGAAATTTTGGTTCTGAGAAAATCGTCTGAATGGAGTACATACATACGTACGTCCACCCCTTCATGTTAGCGGATGTGAAATGGCACACTTTAAAACTACCGGTGTGTAAAACTTGGTATGGGACATCCATGTTGTGATCAATTGACAGCTGTCAAAAAAGGGTATCTGCTAACCAGTGTCACATGACTGCATCGCAGGCTCAGGTATACAACTCATGGAAGTGATGTAATTTTTTAAAGTTATCTACTGACCAGTTGTTCCTTTTTAATTGATCGCGGGCGCAGGTCAATTTTTTTAAAGGTAGAATTTAGTTTGCTTTCTGCTTACGGCCATTTCCTAAAGCATCCTTCGAGAGCTTCGCTTTTGGCCTTGGCTAAAACTATATATTAACATTGGAAATGTTACAAGTACACAATAGGGTAGTGATATGCAACAAATGCAAAGCTACAAGGAGACAAGATGAATCCCTGAAAACTTGTGGACTTCTTCTAAGTACCTTACATACAGTACAATGAATAGGACAAAACTCATCCTTGTATATTAACGATATACTTACCATTCTTTCACACTTGTCGTGACAATGGTAATTGCAACCTGAAAAATAAGCAACATCATAATACTGAAATTGATATTTAAAAATAACCACATCAGTAAACGAGTAGATTTACTTAATCTAATTCTCTATGTTTGAATTCCCCAAAATACACTCTGTTTGCCCCCATCTCCCCGTCCCCTCTTGTCTCCTCAAATTTGGCATAAACTAATGCTTTTTAAATGGTCCTAGGAGAACTGCAAATTCCTGAGGGCATTTGAAAACAATGGTCGGCTCATGCAAAACTTGGGGGCCAAAAGGGTGTCTTGTTGGAGATGTGAAAAAAGTCAAAGAATTGATCAAATTTGTGCATATTTCTGTCAGTATTTAAATAAAGCTTCACAAGATCTTATTATAGGTAATGCATGCATGTCATTCTCTAATCAACACATTAGACTGCTATGTTGAATTCTTCTATTTGCTTTAATTAACTTATAACATAAACATGTATAAGTATCATTTTACTTTATACTTTTAACATTAGGGGATCAGAGAGATCTCCCCAAAGCAGACATCAAATGGACCGAAAACAAGCGTATGCTTCTCCAAGGTTTTCGTATCATACAAGTTAATATTTAAAGTTTGGACGGGGTAAAGAGTGCATTCAGTGAATACAGAGAGGTGACCATGTTATGTAAAAGGCTTCACAGCGAAGGATTCAGCTATAATTTTACAAGAAGAACTGACAGATTGTAGCGGGCCTGTATAATTTAAAGCATAGAGCTTTACCTTTGCATATTTTTCCTTCCCCATCAATATCTTTTCCACAAAAACCACATGGCTCTAGAAGAGCTAAGAGGTCAGACTTGAAGACATGATCACATAGCCGTTGATTTCTGTTAACCTAAAAAGCAAACAAAATGCATGTAAGCTCATCAAGCAAACAAAACTTAATTAAAACGATCAACCTCTCAGAGAAAGGCACAACGTGTTGACCTTTTGGATTCACTGCCAGAGTGCTTGATGGAGTTTTTTAAGGTGGCTCTAACTTTTGAGTCTGTGGACCAAATCCTGTGATGTGACCATTCAAATGAAAGCTTTCCGCCTGTACTTTTACTTGATGCTATTTGTTTTGCAAAATTTTAGAAAATGAAATTTGGAAGTTTGGTCAAAATTTGCGTTTGGCTACATTTGGCAGTGAAAGGGTTAATCCAATAAAAGTACAGACGCTTGCATAGAATTGAACTAAGTGCTTAAAGATCAGACATGCTTAGACAATTAAGCCGACCTGCATCACACGAAAACATATAAATCTTAACTTACTCACAGGATTGTTAAATTTCTTCTCTTGAATGCAAATCTCAACACAATTAATTTGTAACCAAAACTATAACCAAAACCAACTATCTGTAACAGTTTATGAGTGAGCAAAAAATCCAGTATATAGCTAATGATCATTTCATGTTGAAAGTAACCTACTATATGAAACCTTATAGCCTTCTGGAATGACAACATGAATTCCAGCCATATTTCAAAATCAATGTGACACTTATCAACAATTGATTCAAGAGTTTTTAACAATGTGAAATGTCACTGAACTAGTCACTGTTGCACAGGATTAATTTAAGAATTCAAGAATGACAGTCAGAGAACAATGACAAAGTAACATTAAAAATCAAAGTTGTAAAAAATGTAAATGTTGTGGTCCATGGTTTAAATTTTATTATTTTTCTTTTGTTTTTTGAGGTATGGTAATGAACGATAATGGCATGGTCATGAGTTTGAAACAATGTTTTTTTTTTTATAACTCAAGGATAAAATTAAACCACAACATATATAAGTTTAAAATGTTTGCAAGGACCTGAGTTACCAGTTTTGAAATATTTAAATTTATTATTGGGTCCGTTTCAATAGTGACCAAAATAATAAAAAAAATTAATCGACAACATTTCCAAATTTCATGGTTAAAAAGAAATAGTGCAATGTGAAAGTGCCACCAAAGATGTTTCATTCAAAGGTCACACCACAGGATATCATCGATTTCAAAAGTCATTCACACTGGGGGTGAAAGGGCTAATTTCATAACATGTCTTGTGATCAGAGTCAGAAATGGAAGGGTGGTGATTGGACAAATCCTCCAAGTTGGGACTTAAAGGCTTGAGTAGTAAGCTGCCTATAAGATAAGCTATTACACTGATGGACTGGTCAAAAAACAGCCAGTTAAGTCTCAAGGCATTTGGAGACATTTCACACTATGGACAGCAAATGTAACCATTTCAAGGAGGAAATAAATGAGGTCCCAATACAATAAAGTACTTGAAAAACACCAAAATCTCGTAATGTCTTAAAAAAACACAAGATCACAGTGTAAAACATAAAATTTTCCATAAAATTGCTCCAAAAACCATTAAACCTCTCTCTTTCTCTTCATTATGATGAAACTAGAATAAAACAAAAGTTTCTCAAAAGTGATAGCGGAATTATGGTAAAAATGAAGAAAAATAAATCTATTTAACAGAAGCTTTTATTTAAAACTACTGAGACTACATTCAATCTTCACATGATTATTAGCCAGCAGAGTTGTAAGCAACTCCTATACTGTCAAGGTCAGGATACTGTAACAATATTACAACTCTTAATCTATGTCGAAAAACAAGTGGTTATTATGACACGTTCAAGGCCTAAAAGCAGACAGCCACAAGGCAATTATTAACACAGCATCACACAAGCTGTCCAGCCTTAAAGTAAGGGCACATAAAGTATTTTATGGAATGGTTAACAAAAGCTGAAACAGAGGATGACAACTTGACAGTCAAAAATTGACAAAAAGGGCCACAAGTTCATTATTTCATATCAAAACTGCCAAGTGTTTATCCTCTTTAAATATTAAGTTGTCACTTCACTTAATTCACTTCACAATGACTGGCCAAACATATTTTAGCTCTGCATAAAGCTGGATAATATTGTACAGTATTCACTTTCCCCCCTTAATTTGAGCAAATACACTATGAAGCTTAATAGATAACTTGATTTTAAAGATGTCAGTGTGTTCCACTGGACTTCATTCTTCTTAGTACAGTGTAGCTACATAAGAATTCATTCAGAGCTCAGTGTAGTCATACATGTAACTTACCACCATAACTTAACTCTTCTACGTTTCCTGTGTCTCAGAATCTACTCTTCAAATTGGCGATGATTAGTTACTTACAATGTACGTGTACTCAATGAACTGCAAATTTTGGGTTTTAAAGGTTTCATAAGAATTTTTTCTTTAAGTGTAAAGGTCAAAATTTCTTGTTTGCGCATGCTTTAACCTCTTGTGCAACCTCACGTGCATGACCCATTTAGCAGAAATGGTTTGTTGATCACACATGCATCTACATTGTAACACCTCTAGCATGCAACAAAAAAATACAACAGAACCATCTGAAATTCAACAATTTTTGTTCTGATTTATTAACACATTTTCTGTTTTTCATGGTTTGTGTTTTCAAGAGCCAGCGCTGTCAACTGAACATTGAGAGGAAGTGTACGTTATGATGTATTGAATTAATTTTTGTTATAATCAATTTTTATTAGCAGTTTTGTCAAGATGAAGGCAAAAACTACTTGACTTTTATAGCCCTTGCAAAAAAATTCTGCTCCTCGAGGGAGTACCTTTGGTGAATTTGCATTGTATTTCACTTAAAAGAGGGCAGACAGTATTAGAAGTACAGTGTGTTATTTCACAATATTATTATTATTATGCTGCTTATTGACTAGTTTGTTTGAATTCGCTTTGTTTGTTGCTTGCTTTCTGGGCATGCCAACATGAAATTAATTCTCAAAGGGTTTAGTTTAAACCACCAAGTAAAATATTGCTATTAATGCAGCGTTATACCACAAAACAGATCAATGAACAGGAAAACTTAAAATGTTTGTATTAACCTGAAACTGACCAGTCAAAAGACCAAGAAAACAAAAGTTTGGCCACTCAAGTCTGTGATCAGGCTGGTCAATGTCCATAATTTGATAAGCTGTTATTTTCAGCCTTGGAAAGCAATTTTTCACTCTATGACTAGTACTGTCACTTCATTATTTACTTGCTCCTAAATTTTAAATATATATTTTTTCTTTTTTGCATATATTGCCTGGCTTAAACATGGCTTGCTTTGTTAAGAATGGACAAGGGGAGATAAAAAAATGGGGCATATTTGACCAAATCAAAGAGTTATGAGAAGCCTATTTTAAAACAAAATCTTTCACACACAGACTTGCTTGATTATTTAACACTTCTCAGCTAATTCATTAGTAGGTAACAGGGCATGTTAAGAAGTCATTCTTTGCAACAGAATATTTGCCATGACCAGATATTGAGGTTTTAAAGTAAATAGAACAACATTTGTTTATAAATAACTCATCATTCACAGTTTTATTATTTTGACTACAAAGCAGTTAAATTTCTAGACCAAAATAAATATTTGGCATTCATATGCTAATAAGGCATTTTGTTGCCTGAAGTGATTTGAGGGTTAATTTAATTTAACTGAAGCGGGAATAAAAAGGTCAAATACGAGGAAAGAATCAGATTAATAGATTTCAAAAAAAGTTAATTCGATACAAAGCAACACTGAGAAGGCGCATGGTCTTTAGAAAAACTCGATCAAAGAATCGTATTACAAAATACCTAATCAAATATGTGTGGACCTAACATAGTTCGGTAGATTCCAGCTTTTTGCTTATATGAGCTTTGAGGGTTAACTTAGTATTGAAAGGGTGACCACAGCGCCGCGGATGCAAAATATTTCAGACGATTTTCATAAAAAATATTTTGCTCAAGAAACCTTCCAGCCAGTTTTCATTAGAATACACGAGGCAGTTATCGAAAAAGAAAATTATATTTATTTCAACATGATAGTAAGTTACTTCAGGTACAGCTAAAAGTTAGTTAAGTCTTTTTTTAAATTTTATTTTAATTTTCCTTAGACAAATACGCTTACATATTTTCACGCGTAGGACTTGCAAATTCTGAGACCCCTTACCGACTTTCAAACTATCAGCAAAATGGCGGCGAATAAATATAATGAGAATATTATTGACATTTTGTTATAGAATTATCACTGCAGCAGAACATCCTGATGTTCACGTTAAAGCGCAAAACAGCGTTTAAATTGAGTTATCCCTGAATGTTTTTCCCTAATGAACGAACGCCTTGGGCAAGAGACTAGCTTCTAAAAGCAAAACCCGCTGCGAAGCGAATACAAACACCCGCGTAGAATCGCCATATACAAGCTCATCTCAAACGATAAGCAGTCGGAAAATATCAAATAGTGAAAAACACAAACCTGAGATGTAGAATTTGACGGAGTATCATCGGGAATTTCCTCATAATCATTCGAAGTCTTTGATCCGCGCACGCTTGAGGTGTTTGGCGCATGAAAATTCAACCAGTGGTCTTGTAGTTTTACGGCACCCGGAAAATCTACCAAACATGCCGGGCAAATAAAGCCTTCCAGAGAAGTAGCTGCAGCTATGTTCATTCCATTCAAAACTTTTCTAATGGCCGTTAACTGCAGTTATTATTGAAGCACACACAGACACGTTTCTCTGAAAACGGATATACGTACCGTGTTGGTTTGATATGTTAACGCTCATTAATAAATATTAATGAGTTATCAAAAAGATTAATAACATTCCACTGGTTGTTGATTGCGGGAAGCGGAAACTGCCGAAAATATTGTACGACAAGAAAAAGGAAAATTAAAAGCTTTAACGGCTTTATTTACAGTAGAATTTCCGTCAGTCTTGTTGACCACCGGGTTCGAATTTATTCTAATATATTCATCCGCACGAACACTTCAATGGTCTTCAATCCTTACACTGAGGAACTCTCTAGCTTGTTCCTTCCTTGGAGCCCCTTAGGGTTACGGGACTTTGCAAAGGCGAGGAAAAAACACTTAAAAGCTTACTAGTTCACTTACTTTTACTACTCATAGTTGTCTTCAGATTTCAGCCAGGAGCTCTTATTCCTATATCTACTTAAATGAAACTTTTAAAAGGTTTTCCAAAGAACTCTTAGTTTTGAAAAGACGGAAACTGGTTTTATCGTTTAGAGCAGAGTTTTGGCGCGAATCATTCTCAGCGAAAAGAAGTTAAGACTTAGAAGTTTACGAAAAAAATTGTCAAAATTAAACATTTTCCAACAACTAAACCCCGTAGACAATCGAAGCGGCATGAAGGGGAGGCAGAGCGCTCTCTTTGGACCGTCTCTAGTACCAGAGGTAGCTGCTTGCCAGCCTGGACCTATAAAGTCAGGAACTGCGCCAATATTCCTCCAAGTTGTCATCCAAGCCACGCAAAGGTCTGGCGGTACTTTAGTCAAGAATCATCAGGCCTTTCTCCCTTTCCCAGGGGCGGATCCAGAAAATTCAGAAAGGGGTGGCAGGGACACTTGCCCACTTGCCAGCTACATATATAATTTTTTTTTCATTTTTCTGAGAATTCTATGAAAATAATACAAACTTTCAAAGAAACAGGGCTGAAAAGGGATGGCCGTGGCCCCCTCGCCCCACCCCTAAATCAGCTCTTGTTTTCCCCTTCCTCCCCTACTCCTTTCGACGCTTGTTATGCAGGCTATTTTAAGATCTCTTCGGTATAATTTTTTTACTATTTCTTGAGCAATTTTTTTCAGACATGAATATCTTCTACGAACTGAGCTGCGAAGAAAAGAGGACAACTTTTCTACTATCGAATTTGCTTCAAACTTAACCCATCTGCATTTCTCGACTCTCCGCTCTGCAGACTGGAATCTACAAACCAGAGCCACAAGAATTTTTTAAAACCACTCAAGATATTATCTCCAGATCTCTTGTTTTGTAATTCCCTTCACCTTGTTAATTAGTGACTTTATACATTGTGGGGGTAAAATTCGTCATGTTTTACTTGAAGGTTTACTTATGCAGCGGGCGTAGTATTTTTAGCGGGCTCTTGACAAGGAACTTCAGATTCGCTTTACATAGACAAAAAGAACGAAACATGCAAGACTGAATTTACAACTTTAAAATTTAATGTAATAATTATAAAAAGCTTAAAAACCCTAGATATAGAAGGTACAAATTAAGACTATCTGAAAAGAAATGACTTTACTTTGTCATTCAAACTATACAGAATGCAGCAATTAAATTTTGAAATTTATTGAGCTGTCACAAAACTCATAAATTTATTTTCCGCAAATATAAACAATTTTACGGGAAGAGTAGCCTGATTCTCAGACGTCTGAGGCCTTTCACGGTCCCTTGGCAGACCGCGAACGACCTCGGAAGACAGAGTATCAGGCTACGGGAAGAGCCTCTCTGCGAGGCTTGTGGGTTCTCGATATAAGCCATTTAACTGTCTGTAAACTACTCTGTCAAGCCTGGTTTTGCTCAGGCCCAGCCTCATGTTCAAAATGACGGGAAAGCCCGTGACTTGTGTTCCTCGCTGGTAACCTGCTGAATTAGGCGTTCTTTTTTCCGGTGGAGCGCGCAAGTCGGCGGACGGGCAAAGGATAATCCTTTCTTCCCGGCATAACGACAAAAATTAAATGTGATAGCGGCGCCACTGGCCAACCGGACTTATCATTTCGGGAAAATGCTTTTTTATTGAGATTTCTTGCCAAAACATATCGCTGTTGTGTGTAAAAGACTGACCCGGCGCTTGCCTAGTCCCTGTACGGCGTCTTCCCAGGCCTTCTTCGTCAATGCATTTTCGGTGACGTATCCGAGACGATGAGGCCTAGGGACTAGGCAAATTCGGCGCTACAGTCTGGCTAATGTCACTAAAGGGCCTTAGGGTATACTTTCTTTCAAAAGTGCAATACAGGCAGTTATTGCCTGTCAATTGCCTGGATAAAGCATTCAAGTTCCCTGAACTAAACGGCCCATGACGTGGCTGGATAAAGGTCTTGTTACATTGTGTACACTGATTATGGCTTTTCACCTGTGTGAGTAAGGAGGTGCGTGGTCAGACTCCACTGGTGGCTAAACGCCCTGTTACATTGTGTACACTGATATGGCCTTTCACCTGTGTGAGTACGGAGATGCTTGGTCAGAACACTAGAGTGGTTAAACGCCCTGTTACATTGTGAACACTGATATGGCTTTTCACCTGTGTGAGTACGGAGATGCTTGGTCAGATCACCAGAGTTGGCAAACGCCTTGTTACATTGTGTACACTGATATGGCTTTTCACCTGTGTGAGTACGGAGGTGCGTGGTCAGATTACTCAGTTGGTTAAACGCCTTGTTACATTGTGTACACTGATATGGCTTTTCACCTGTGTGAGTACGGAGGTGCTTTGTCAAATTACTCAGTTGGTTAAACACCTTGTTACATTGTGTACACTGATATGGCTTTTCACCTGTGTGAGTACGGAGGTGCGTGGTCAGATGGTGCAACATGTTAAACACCTTGTTACAATGTATACACTGATATGGTTTTTTCCCTGTGTTAGTATTGGAGAGTCCGTTATGATTACCAATTGCTTTTTTCTTCTTGATGTTTTGATGCGGTTGTCCCTTTGAATCTATACACACGTGAATCTTGAGATAGTGCATCGATGCAAATCTCTTGTTACATTTTTTGCAGTCCCATGTTCTGTTTGTTGTGCGAGTCAAGCAGTAATATTTCATATGTCTCTGCATAAAGTTTAATGAAGTAAACATTTTTCCACAACCTTCGCAAGTGAATGCGCCACCTAAAAAAACGGTAACATGTTTAGTTATGATGACTTCGAAAAAAGTCACAATTACACCAAAGAAGGTTAAAAACGCCGCTTAACGTTATACCACATCAGTTTGAAAATTGACGCGGCTGAGAAATTTCACTTTCATCGGTAATTTTATCAAAATCACGTGTTGCAAATTTCTGACTCAACTTTAGCAAAATCCCCAGATTAAAGCCTTTTTTGTATCATTCAATTACAATTTACAAACAAGTACAGTCACCTCCTTTCTTTTCCAAAGGCGTTAGGCCTCCTTGAAGATGACAGGTAATTGCCCGGCGGGTATAAATGGGTGTAGTTAGGAAGAGGCCGTCTAGTGGGGCGTTAGAAATATATTAAGGGACACCAAGTCTATCACTAATTTAGATGTATTTAACCAGGAGCCCATTGATGGGCTCCTGATTTAACCCATTCGCTCCTGGAGATTTTGCCGAAAAACGCGTTTTGAAGCTAGTCGAGTGGTTTTCTGGTCACTGTCGTGCTATAAAGAGCTAAAACTTACCACAAACCGGTTTACAGGTCGTACACTTAGCGGCCTTCTGATCTAGATGCAAAATATCAGCTTGCGAAGTTCGGGCATGCGCAGAAAGCAAAATTTCAAGATAGTTTTTGGGTTTAAAAGTGACACAGCAGTCTTGACTTTTACTTTTCGCTTTTTCTCCTCCCTTCTTTTTTCGCTTTTCTTGCCTCATTTTTCTTTTCCCTTGCTGGGCATTTAGTAGGCTTCATTTTGGTGGGAAGAGTTTTTGGGAAAGCTTTTAGCATCTTAGGATTAGGTGAAAGGAAAGGTAGGTGGGCAATGGAACAAGATTTTCATGGAGATTTTCAGGTCAATGTCACGTGGTTTTTTTGCTTCTTTCTCCACTGTCCTTGACTGAATTGTGCTCATTCTGGTATGGTTTGAAAGATCTCTTCACTCTACACAAGTTCGCCAAGAAAGTTGTCCTTGACCGTTAAAACTGATGACGTCACAAAGGCTAGAAAGGACCTGGATCCGCACGGGCGGTTACGGGCGGTTCAGGGGCGAATGGGTTAAAGTAAAAATACAACAGCATTTTCTAAGGGTATTTTTGGAAAACTAAGTTTTAGATATTTGACATTGTAAATTAAGCTGAAAAGCCTTTTTGAGGAGATAAATAAATTTATTATTATTATTATTATTATTATTATTATTATTATTATTATTATTATTATTGTCCGTCATCAAAGGCTGTGTCGCGGCTGTCTCATTTCATTTAATTGCTAATTATGTTTCCTTTTTGTACTATGCACTGTATGCATGGCACTTACGTTGGCAAAGAATTAATTGCTTTTTGTGACAACTAAATTTACAGCTTCAAGTGGAACAAATATGTCTCCAAAACATTATATCAAACGTTACAAACTTTGAAAAACTATTGGGCTAATAAGTAGTTTATTCAAATACCCCAACTGCAATCCATTTAAATCTTTTTGATGCCGAGTAAATATTAAGTGAGTAGCTAAGTTCCTTACCGTTTGCCCAGCCTCGATCACGAACCAGCTTATCATTATCATCCAATGAGATCCCCAGTTCCTTAGCGTAACTTTCTCCGTACCAAACAAGTAATTCATTTCCTGGGGGTATACGCTTGTACGTGCGATAATAAATGTTTCCTCTGAACTGAAAAGAAACCAAGTTCTGTTCGTCCTCACATCGCGAGCAATTCACAAACCTCATCCAATTACTGCAAGCCTCATTTTGGCCATCTACGAAATGACTGAATTTTCCATCTTTTAAAATCTAGAACCAAAGAAACAAAAACACTCCTTTCGTTTCATCTATCTCCACGTCTAGCCTCCAACCTCCCTTTACAGCCTTCCTTTCTTTGCTCTCCCTTTTTTTATAGACCGGCTTTTAACATGAGCTTATCGTTTAATTTCATAAAACAATATCCTCATACCAATCCAACATTTTTCCTGTCCGGGAACTGCACCCAAGAATTTGAATATTGAACAATGAAATGAAACTCCCTGACTTTTCCCTGACCTTAAGGAACTGGCTCCCTGACTTAATGTCCTAACAACCATGATCAATGCAGACGTTTCCACTACCAGCTAAACAAGAAATTTTTATCACAAACAATGCTATGCTTGGATCTCCTCACCATGGCCACCAAGTCAACGCAAGCACACTGATAGATTTGAGAGATCATGCACCCTCAACTCATGGCTTACTGATGGATACGGCTTACCTCCCAACAGTAACTGGTATTTGCATCCTCTGTTACATGTTCCCAGCCTATCTTTGTTCCTTTATAAGGACCAAATCGTACACCTTTTGGGATCTCTGTGATACTAAACACGCCCAATCCTGCTCCTGGAATTGACGAATCAGCTATTCTAAGAATAGGTGGCGTGGAAGCCATTGCAGCCGACTCTCTTATGCTTTCGTCCACGGTCTTGTCTTCAATGATTTGTAAAGGACCATGGACTGGACACTCTCCGTAATGCAGGTCGTGGCACTCTTCGCAATCTGGGGAGTGTATTAAATTGAATACAAAAAATCACCTCATTATCGCATTCCATGGCGCATTTTGCGTTGTTCAACCTATAAGGTCGATGCACTCTGATGCTATGGTAGCCTGAGAAAACAGCCTTTTAACCTCCCTCCTCGCCGCTGGGGACCGTTTCGCGACGAGGCTAACTGCAGAGTCCTCTGATAAAATGATAGATGACATGATCTTCAGGTATAAAATGTTCTTGGGGTCATTATCCTGAGTAGTCTATGTTCCGATAATTTACTCAGACTTAAAGAAAGCCAAAGTAAAGGGCTTGCTTTATTCCGGCTGAGCCATTTTATTAGCCCTCGCTCGCTCTTTTTCCCAATACAAGGCGAAATGTTTCTAAGTGGTCCAACTTACAGATATAGTGGTCATCATCCGGCACCTCAGCTTCGCAGTATGTCTGCCTTTTTCCTCGGGTAGTATATTGAATGCGCTTTTCCTCTGGACGTTCCTTGTTTGTAAACTTTCCCTGTTTCCTTTGCTTTTCAGGCTCTGCATTGATTTTATCTGGTAATAAGTCTATTTCTTCTCCCAGTCGACCAAGTTCTTCAAACGCGCTTGAACCATCATCTTCTTTCTGATCTCCCCGCGCGTTTAGTATATTGTAAAAAAAGAAAAACGATAAACTACAACTCTGGTAATAATTATGTCTTTTCAGGTAACTTCCAGGTTCAAGTCAACTTCTTAAAGATGGACTAATTAATGATTTCAGCCAAATTTGCTAAAATATAAAAGTTTTTTCCGACTCATGCCTGAGATACTAACGAACGACTGTCAGAGTACAAAACTGGGTTTTATCGAAACGGAAAGAGGAGTTGCTTGCAAGGGTGAATCAATGTTCTTCAGAATTTCCAAAGGTTCAAAAAAGAGCTTAGAACCTAGATAAGTTCTGCAGCAACGAACAGTCTTTATCGTTAACTTTCCGTTGCACGTTACACTTTGCCAGTGTTGAGTTATCTGGCAGTTTAGGTCAGTTTAAAAATGTATGATAAAAACGTTTCATATATCCCACCGTCATGGTGTGTCCCGTCCGTCTGTTCAACACTGGTACGGTCTGAGGTCTTGGCCGGAACTCTAAAATAGAGGGAAAGACTGAGCTTGTTCGAACTCATAGCGCCTCAGAGCAGGGAATTTAAAAATAAAATTAATCACTTCTGAATAATACATTCCTTCTGTCCTCAAGCCTCGCAGCCAAGTTTGAATTTGTATAGACGTAATATATTAAAATTGGTTTCTTCAGGACTGTTCCTGTCTTCAGATCGCAGACGAAAGAAGTATCCGATAGTAATCGAACCGAACTCAGCCAGGAGTATCAGCCAGTCACTCACACCTTGGCCCTACGATTTAGCGTTGAGAAAATCTTACAGAAGATACTAGCCTGCGTGGCAAGCGGAAGCCGAAGGGAAAGGGGAGGGAGAGAGGGAGAAAAGCGTGAAAGGGAAAAGGGAGGTGGTCCCTCTCCCCTAACCCCATCCCTTTTTCCCTTCCTCCAGTTCCCCTACCCCATTTTATGTCGACGCCTGCTACGAGGCTAAGAAGACACAAGCTATACGATCATAAAATAGCCTACGTGTAGCCGCACCCTCCCCCCGAATTATGAACAGATCATGTAAAGAAAAAGCCTTTTCATGTCTTTTAAAAGATGATTTCACGTTTCATAATCTTCGTTTATGATGTATAACCTATTTTTCAGCAGATATTATATTTTTTTGTTATAACTTTTCCATTAAGTAACACTGATCTTTTCCTTCTGTGCTGCTTGGAGGATCATGCATTAAAAATCTCTTCTACCTGGAATGAATATTTTGATCATTTTGTTTCGTCTTCTAACTTCTTCTGATCCTGGAACCCAGTCTTCATCGCTATCATCACTACTCTCATTTGAGCTTTCACTATCTGCGACGGTGGTTTCTGTATTACGTTTCTTTACAGGTGTTTTACGAGTACGAGAAGGAAGGCCAGCTGGTACGGCTGGAACAGGAAGACCTAAAAAAAAAAAAAAAAAAAAATCAGTTCTTCACAAGCGTATAAACACTAAAAAACGAAGCCTTATAAAATAGATAATAGTTTCATTTGCTTGCCTAGCAGGCTGGTGCAAAATATACACTCTCTATCCCGTTTACGAAGTACTCTGAAAAAGGCATAACAGTTCATCAGAAAAATGCTCCTTTTTCCCACTAGAGCGCTCAGGAAAAAATGCATTGATGAACATATATCCCTTCCGAAATGTGGCGGCGTGCCTGCATAGCTGACGAAATGTCTGCTTCTCTGCAAACCACTAAGAAAATCTAGTCTTCAGTCCCACAACATTCAGAATTTCCTCGTCAAGAGTTCACGAACAACAATTTTGTGTTTCACGAGTCACGAAACAAATGATCTCTGCGTTGATCTCTCGCGGTGATCCCCACGCGGCTGTAAATTACCGAGGGAAGCCAGCTGTAAGTGGGTCTGAGCACACCGAAGTGTGAAGTGACAGCAAAAGTTTCAAAAGTGAAATTAAATCAAGCCACCTGATGCTAGTTAATGAGTTAAGGTCGTTTGGCCAGATTAACGTTTTTTTTTTTCTTCAATTGATCTTCCATGTACGTGTACACAATCGAGGATTTTGGCAGTTTGCGTTTCACGGAGGGCACTTCTGATCACGACTCACAGAAAAATTTTTCAGTACATCACGTTTGGCTGACACCAAAAATGGTCGAACAGGGCGTCACGGTAATAAGCCCCCCCCCCCCCCTACCTCTCCATAGTATTCGGTAAAATTGATGATTAGGTCCGGCCCTTTATTGTCTTGGATTTCTGCATGTAAATCCACAGGTAGCGCAAGCTCGAAATATGAACATTGGCGAACATTGGCCTGTTGCATAACATTCGAAATATAAGGATTTGTATGGAAAAAAACCTAAAAACCTTTAATATAGAGAGAAAACCGTTTACAGTACAACTCATAAAACGGCCATAAATCGGCCCATGGACCACACAGGAGAGACGTAACACACATTTTATGTAAGGTAAGCTGTTTTTTATTGAAATCCTTTCATTTTCGTAGGTTACGGAAACGACAGGTTTTTTTTCATACAAATCCTTATATTTCGAGCTTGGGCTACCTGTGGTAAATCTAGCGAATATGATTATTATCAATTTTTTTTTTGCGTACTCACCAAGGCTTTTCAAGAATTCATGGTTCCTCTTGATATTTCTGAGTCGCAAAAGTTCATACTCTGACAACGAGTTTTCCATTTGAGATCATTAGCTGAAACGCTTAGATATATCCGTCTTAAATCTTGAATAAACAAACAACCAACACTTAAAACAGCTAATCGTAGTTGTGAAGACTTTGAGGTAGTTAATAACACTTCATTAAAAAGATTAGTTTTAGCTTTAAGCTTTATAAGTTTATATGGTTTAAGCTTACCTAAAGAAGTTCTACAGTAGCCAAATCCTGAGTGTTCTTGCCGACTTCGTTTAGAGCTAGGGCTTTCAAGTTTTCTTTAAAGCTGCAAATACAGTAACTTCTTTCTTCCCCTCTCTAGATAAATAAACTTTGAAATAAAGACATTTTCTCTTCACATGAACCTTTCAAAAATGTTTGCTGAAAAAGCAGAAGAGCGAGGAAAAAGACAATTTTTTTTTCTTCGCACATCAGGGACGGCATCAGCTAGAGAGCATCTGATTGGTCAGCTTACCAGACAGAAGAGGAAAAGGGCGGGAAAATAAAACGCAGGTTGCGCACTTCAGTAAAAAAGATTATTGTTGTCTGGGAGAGTAAACGAAATATGTTGTGTTGAATTTTGCGAATAAAAATAGTAAACAAAAGTGTCTAGTAACTGATCTTTGATAAAAGAAAAAGCAATAAAAACTTTACGTAAAGTTTTTATTGCTTTTTCTTTACGTATCCTTTCCTATATGGCTGTTTAGACAGGAGCCCTGGTTTACGGTGGTTTACGGTTAAGTTTACGGTAGGTCAGTTAGCAACATATGTGGCTACATGTCCTCATCAGTCTCCAACAAGTCTCCACCCCGAGTGTACAGCGTCTTTCCACCAAAGCGTCGCTTCTGGGGGGAGGGGATGGGTGTACACATGGGGCTGCACTACCTTTATCAAATTTCGGGTTTTTATACCTTTTCATGCATAGGACTTTTTCTGAAAAATACTTGAAGCTCCTTCATTTACATAATCTCGGTTTTGTAATTCATTCTGGCATTCATTCTATAAATTTTTAATTTTCTAAATCAACTTTGTAGATGGTTACGTTTGACACCGCGAAGACGCGCGGGAACAAATGAAATTTCTGGCGATTGAGTCGCTACGAATTAGCCTGAAATTAAATATTTCTGCGGCACGGGAGCAGCAGGCCGTGGGCCTGGGTCTTTTTAATGTAGTTGCATCATGGGTAATGGCGTGTGAG